TGTGTGTGTAAAACAATTTGAGGGAATTGCCATGGGTCACCGATATCCTCGACTGTAACAGATATATTCATGGATAGGTGGGAAAACATTGTGATTGAAACATTCACCCACACCCTTCAAGTATGGTGGAGATATGTAGATGACATATTCACTGTACTCAGAACACAAGATATAGATAGATTTTTCGAACACATTAACTCGAAGGTAGAGGCAATTCAATTCGCTTATGAAGTGGAAAATCAGGAAGGGAAACTTCCAATGTTACATTGAGACGTAAAGAGGATAGAAGATGGGAAGTTAAACACTAATGTTTACAGGAAACCCACACATTCAAACAGATATTTGGACTTCCGATCATCCCATCCTATGTCAGTGGAAATAGGAATGGTGAAATGTTTAAGTGACAGAGCACAAAAACTAAGTAGTACCAAGGAAAATCTGAGACAGGAAGTGATACACGCAAAAAAAGCCTTCAAACTGAATAGTTACCCGGATAAATTAGTCAAGAAATATGTAAGGAAGTGTAAAAATAAAATAAATAATGATATTAACGATAGTAATAATAATAATGATGGAAATAATAATAATATTAATGACGACACCAATAATAAGGAATCTAAATCATCATTAGTAATTCCCTACAAGCAAGGAACCTCGGAAACCTTACGCAAAATTCTTAACAAGGCAGGAATAAAAGTGGCTGGCATTCAAACCAACCACAAACTCAATTAGAAACAAGCTTTGTCGGTTTAAGGATCCTGTGGAGCCTTTAAAACTAAACAATTCGATTTATATAATACCCTGCCGGAATGATTTTCAGGTCAAATACATAGGTGAAAGTAGTGGAACAGGAGCAGTCAGACTATCTGAGCATAAAAACCTAGCAAAATCTAGATTCCTTGACCAAAATAAAATAAGAAATCTAGGGAATAGTTCAGCCATAGCATTACATGCAATTACACACAACCATACAATAGGATGGGATAGGATGACAGTTTTAAAATCCAATGTCACAGGGTGGAGGGGGGGAAGAGGTTGATAACAGAAGCTTTGTTTATCGAATCAACTGGAAAGACATGTAATAGGATTGATCCAACACCTGTCCACCCAGATATCTGGAAAATTCTACTACGCCTACGACAAATGGGAGAGAACAAACAAAACTATAAAGCTCAAGTTTCTAAGTCGTGTGATTATAATTGATGAAATGATTATGAACAATAAATTTTGTTCAAAACGTCATCCAGTAAATAATAATACAGTTTCACTTAGTATGTGATACATCTAATAAACAAACTAATATGGAACCGACCAGTTTCTCTTTAGTCTATGGACTGCTTCACTAGATGCTTTGATTACTAGCTCGAGTTGTCAGTTCTGAAATAGGGCGATATACACTTCATGGAGTCTACTGTTAACCAGCACTAAATATGTAGCTTCATATTTCAGACGTCATAAAATATTCACATTACACTTCTGGTGGTGGTGTTTGCCTTTAAAGAATGGTTTAACCTACATAAGTGAGACAATTGATTTCCCCACAAAAACGCTTGCTAAGTATCAGCTTCATTATGTGTAAATTACGATGGATAATATCGTCAGCTGAATTCTTTGTAAAACACAAATGACACGAAGCGAAGTGAAATATCAGCATAGTTTACTTCGCCGAGTCAAATCGTGCAGATCACGATATATGATATACATCTGACGTTATAAATGACAGCCAGTGAAAGGACAAGGTTTTTAACAGAAAGACTATTTGGAAATTCCCTCTGAACGATCCAATTACAATTATTATACGTGTATATGGATGTTTCAACTAACTCTGTAATGCATATGAACTGTCGTCAAGATTTGACAGAATAGTTCTGAAATATTTGGCCGCCCAAGTGAGGAGTAGACATTTGTAAAATCTCAGAGAGATTGAAATGAGTAATTCCAACGTTTCCTACATTTGGCACTCTCATCCGAACTTCTTCAGGGAAATTAATTGGAATTAACATAACAGAGGTTTATATATAAAATAGGGGAACATCTCTTGTTTTTAAAAACTTTGTGCAATCATGAGTCATAAAACAAGTATCAACAAGTATAATAAACGAACAAAATTGTATAAGCTGTGATCAAAATTTGACTTCGGACTTACAAATATTGGCCTACATTTGTTAAACACTTTAAACAGAATGTGTATGTTTGTATGGGTAAACAGTTGTAAAACATTTCTCACCGTCTTTATAAGAAGATATAGACAGTCGGGAATTGTGACCGAGTATTATTTATTAGTGATACATATCCATTCTTGTTTATTAATCAGGATTTCCTATGCATCAGCTGACATCACATCTTCATGTCTGTTCACGCTGTTAGTATCTAGAATTTTATAATAATAATATAATAATAAATTTTCCTTCACGTTCCCAGTGGAACATAGGGCTCCAAGCTGGAGGCTTTAAGTTTCTGTAGCAGTGTTTAGTTTTTACAGGATGAGGTTGCTAGCCTCATGTCCAACCTTTCATCTTTAGCAGTCTTATTACTAGCTTAGCGAGGTAAAGGAGTGCGTCGGCCAGGGGTCGAACCCCGGATCAGGTGCATGGTCGGCGAGCGGCCTAACCGCTGTGCCACCGACGCCAGAATTTTATGATTAGACGTATTTTCAAAATTATGGTGTTTAACATTAGAGTTTATTTGAATCACCCTTTCAAACTTATTGCTTTGTCTTCTTTCTGAAGATTGACCTGATTTATTCGACCTACTGGAGTTGTCTCGAGGTAACACGACAGCTACGGATTAAGGATATGCATTCTGTTGCAGACAACGGAGAGTGAAAACACAATGATTGTACCAATTACATAGTTTCTTTGTTAGTTTTAATTCGATTGCAAAATAATTCAAATGACAGAAAGTCCGAGGTCAAATTTTCATCACAGCTCATACAATTTTGTTCGTTTATTATACTTGTTGATACTTGTTTTATGACTCATGATTGCACAAAGTTTTTAAAAACAAGAGATGTCCCCCTACTTTAACGAATGATGATCAAGTTAGTAAACTTTGTTTTGATATCATAACTGATGTACTATTACCTTTGATATTTGGTTTAGTGATCTTCTTTGTTATTTTGACTTCCAATATGTCCCTTTAACTTGACCTGAGTCTGTTTTCTCACGCACTAACTCTTTGTTACATGTAAGCTGAGTGGATTTTGTAAATTCCGGTTTAATAATACTACTTTGATAAAGCTATTAGCATTATATAGCGAAATGTTAGTAAAAGTCGCGATATCGTTTTGTTTTTCATTCATTGGGAAACACGAAAACCTTTATTATAATAAATATCACAAAAAGGCACAAAGAGCGAAGAAAATTTTCTTTTCGACGATTCATTTTCATGAGCTGTACAATCGTAATTATAATTAAACACATAAGTTTTTGACCAATCAGATACTGGTAAACTTTGTCCTTGAAAATTCTACTACATAGTGTGAGGTGTAAGAAGGGATGACTAATTGTAAGTTAGATAGGAGACAGAAGTTGGCATGACCTAATAAGTGTGAGATAATGACTAATCATTAAGATTATGTAGAATGGACAGGAACTAGTGGAGAGGCTATAAAGTAGTTTTGTATAAGATGTGTGAAAAAGCAATGTTATTAATAAACAGTCATAGAGTAGTAATAAAATATGGATGCTGGGAATAGTAATAATAATAAAAGTATTAAGAACAGTAATAATAATAATAGTGAACTTACATATTAAAAGAGAGGAGAAAAATTATAGTCAGAAATTTACTCTGGCCATGGTAGGGCTAGAGAATGTATGCATCGTTTTTGTATGCATAGGTCCGGTTTTATGTCACGAATAGCTAATGCCTCAGCTATGTACAGATGTCGTATCCGGAGTCCTTTTGTACGATATTGAGGGACTCTGTGTACCACTGTGAAGCATTCGTGTGGGGGTGCTCGATGTCCGGAGATAACAAGGTGTTCGAGGATTGAGCTGTTGGTATTCTTCTTTTCTCCTCTGGCTAACCAAGCTGGGCAGTATTCCAGGATACGTTTGTGGACTTGACGTTGCGTACGGCCGATATACTTCCTGTCCACTCTACACTGGCTTATTGATTAGTCATTATCTCACACTTATTAGGTCATGCCAACTTCTGTCTCCTTTCTAACTTACAATTAGTCATCCCTTCTTACACCTCACACTATGTAGTAGAATTTTCAAGGACATAGTTTACCAGTATCTGATTGGTCAAAAACTTATGTGTTTAATTATAATTACGATTGTACAGCTCATGAAAATGAATCGTCGAAAAGAAAATTTTCTTCGCTGTTTGTGCTTTTTCTTCATGACTCAATATGGGAATATTTCGTTCATTGAAAAATATCATAAACCCGATGCCCAAAATTTTTCAAACTTTTAAAAGTGAACTTGGTTTGGACATATATAATCTCCTACTTCATGTTTAAGAAATATGTTAGTGAAACAAGGAATGAAATGTAGATGGCTTAAACCAACTCTTAGACTGACAATCTAACTAGCATTTCATTGCCAGTCAAGTAAATTCGGAGAAACGAATACCAGTAAAACAAAATTATTGTCGATAGCTGAATAACAGAGGAGATACATTTTTTCGGTTGCTAGTAACAAACAGTGGAATCTAAGATGCGCATAACAATACTTTTAGGATTCCCCAACTGGATGTACCTGCATTTCTAGTGAGTGACGGTATTTCGCCTGAGACTCTCTACCATCGTTTCAAACACCAAAGCATTACTAACCAAGCAACTAAATATCTAATGGCATCTCGGACTTCCCGGGTAATCACCAACAACCAACATAACATCAAACTACTCCTTAAGTGTCGTTGATGAAAGTGACAGTGAACCTTTCATTCAAACAGGATAAATCAACAAGAAATACCAATTATCCCGAAATCAAATTACAAAAACAGAAGAATTCTACTTATTAGACATTATCACAGGCGTACATTTAACTTACCTTATTTGAAAAATCTGATTGATTAGCACTAGCACGAAGTGAACTACGATTTGAAGTTTTACTACTCATTGGTTTGAATTTACGATCATCTGGTCTTTCAATTGTCAGCGTGTGTTGAAGTCTTCTTGTAGTTGACTTCACTGAAACAGATGGTTCAGGCTGTGGTTTCACATAACTCATAGCTTTGCGTAACGGATGACGTAGAAATCCCGGTCGACTAAACTGACCAGTGTGAGTAACAGTTGAATCATTATTGTTGGTTGGTTTATGTACAGTATGACTGGAGTCTGACGACTGTTGATCCTTTGAATGTTCAGATTTCAATGTCTTCCACTTTTTTAGACTATTTGAAGATACATACTGACCTGCAGTATTTCTGAAAACCAAAGATAAAAATAAAAGAAGGCAGTCAAAGGACCGTCACAGACACATGCACACAAAAAACTTTATTTCAGCATAAATATCTCACCGAAAAGATAAGTCATCATCTCTTTGGGTTTCAGATTTTTCATTCCTCATAGAAACGTCCTTTAGATGAAATTTTCATTAATGCTGAAAGTCGTGGAAGCGGAAAAGCTGAATGATTAAAAACCAGTCTGACGAAAAATTTGTGTTTGACGAATCATCAGGGTGATTTATTCAGCAGAAATTTATGTTAACGCTATCCACGCTCGTAGACCATTCATCAGCAACCGGCACCTGACTGATCCAGTGGCTAGCCCATGAATCCTTACTTCCGCTAATTCACCACATAGTGCGATCAACTTCTCCAACCAATCAGACAAAATCCTACAGAAAACTAATACTTGGCAAATGTATAATTCACAAGTGACTGATTTGACATACTATTTTTCGTAGTAAATTCATTAAGTAAATATTTAAGCTCATCAAATAAAAAGCTTCAAACAAACTTAAAGAACTATTTCAAAATACCAGCAAACTGTCATATATCTGCTGCAAGCATACAAATAAAATTTACAAAACATAATTTCAGTGATTATAAGGATTGATGGTCGAATTTTTATGTAAAGTGAATAAGCAGCCCTGCTAAGATCAACGAGGTTTCGTGTTTTTATTGATAGTTGTTGACGTGGCGTGTTACGAATCTCAAACAAATTAATGTCGGTCAGTTTTGCAATATAGTCACCTAACCAGCTAGCTTTCTCCCTGATGCCTGATAAAGCTAGCCATCATCTTTCTCCTGGAGACTGATACTGAGCCTTACAGTCAGTCCAGTAGTAATGTCTCTGACAGAAGAACTCACTGACTTTAGTTCAAGTCTTCAAAATGACACTGATCCCCTCAACGTTGCAGACGAATGCTAAGAATGTCGAAATCTAGCCTGGACAAAGTTTCAGGCTGATTTCAAGAGCACCCTGATGGCGAGTTGTCAAGTTTGGTGATTACATCACATGCTTTACTGATAGAATTCGGTGAGCATTAACACCAATAGCTAAACTTATAATGCAGGGTGAACTCCAGTGAGGAATGAATGATCACCTGCTCATTTACAAGATGTCTATTAATTTCCAGTCTAAAGACTCTAGAAATTGTTGTTTCCCTGAATAGTGATAAAAGTTTATATTTAACTGGTAAATTTTCTTATTTGAAATTCTATTCCTTTACCTTCAAAGTTGGACATACGGGTTCAAGATAGAGCTGATAAGTTTCTCTGGCAGTGGTGCTTATTTTTATACATTTGGGGGTTGCTAGCCTCATGCCCAACCTTCCTTTCTTACCGATTTTATTATCGGGTTAGAGTAGTTTAAAAGTAATTCCATTATGCGTATATTTTGTTTTGATAAAGTTTCACAGTGTTATACAGTAATGTTTACTGATAACGTTTCGAGCACAATTTACTGCTCATAATCATACCACGGTACTCACACGACTTCCTAACTTCATTTGTATAGTTCCATTATTTTTCACTTGATTTTCACTTGATTCGATTGGTAATAGCATTTTCCACATTTCGGGAATGAGTGATGAATCATTTCTATTGCATGTGTTGTTGGGTGTAGACTCGATGAACAAGGATTCAGTAATCAACCTCTCTCGCTCTCCACCTACCTAGATTACTTTTTAGAATTTTAACCCTCTCCTACCCTATTGTGTGGTTGTGTGTTAATACATGCATTGCGATTGCTGAGCTTTTTTCTAAATTACTTATCTTCTCGGAGTCAACCATTCTTATGTCCCGCCACTCTGATTACCCTCGATCTACTAGTTTGACCTATATAATTGATCTCATTGTCATTGCAGGGTAATTTGTAAATTATATTATTTTGTTTAATTGGGTCCACCGGGTCTTTTAGCCTACAGAGCTTGTCTCTGAGCGAGTGAGTTTGTGGGTTTGAATGCCACAAGCCTAATTCCTGCTTTATTTAGAATCTTACGTAGTGTCTCAGATGTCCCCTCTTTATATGGTATAACTGTAGATGACTAATATTCTTTCTTATTTATGTTATTATTAATAGTTTCAAAATTATTTTTACTTTTCCTTTGGCCTTTTTCGATCTTCCTAATGAATTTTATAGGATAGTTATTCAACATCAAAGCCTCTTCTATCTGTTTTTGTTCATCATTTAGGTCTTTTCTTGTGCTACTTAGTGCTATTGCTTGGTTTGTTAATCATTCAACTAAGCCTGCCTTGACAGTTAACGGATGAGATGAATTAAAGTCCAAATATCTATTAGAATGAGTTGGTTTCCTGTACACACTAGTGTGCAGTTCACATTCTTCTATTCGTCTTATTTTACAATCTAACATCATAGCTAATTCTCCTTGATCATTTTCCGCTTCAAATGTGAATTTTATTCCCTCCATTAGTGAGTTTATGTGTGTCAAGAAGCTAGAGATAAGTTCTGTTTTTAACACTGTGAAAGTGCCATCCAAATATATCCACCATAAATTTGGAGTAGGATTAAACGTATTAAGAGCCATATTTTCCCAGCTCCCCATAGATATATTTGTTGCGATAGGGGATATTGGTGATCCCATTGCTACTGAATCCTGGTTCATCGAGTCTACACCCAACAACACATGCAATAGAAATGATTCATCACTCATACCCAAAATGTGGAAAATGCTATTACCAATCAAATCAAGTGAAAATCAAGTGAAAAATAATGGAACTATACAAATGAAGTTAGGAAGTCGTGTGAGTACCGTGATATGATTATGAGCAGTAAATTGTGCTCGAAACGTTATCAGTAAACATTACTGTATAACACTGTGAAACTTTATCAAAACAAAATTTACCCATAATGAAATTACACTCTACCTCAGTGCATAAGTTTTATACTTATATCAAGTTTAAAAGTACTTGAGTCGGAGAGTGAACCCATTAAAACACATAAGCAGGTGGCGATAATTCTATGCCCGAACCAATGAAGTAACACACTAAACTGGTGAATTAGTAATCATAGAAACGAGATGTCCTTAATTAAAAGCAGATATGTGTATAGGGAAGACGAGAAATGATCACTTATAACAGGAGTGGAAAGCAGATTTGAAAACGAAATTATCTCTAGGTAGCTAGATACACAGAAATACACACAGAATACGTCCACCATGTGTAACAGTCATGACTTTCACGTATCTTCGATGCTATTTTGCTCTATCAGCCGTACTGTGCTTCTTCGTCTCTCTTTCATTTTTTTTTCTATGTTGTTTCACCGGCATCATTCATTCAATCCAAATCTCTGTTACTGGATATTCCTGCTGCCTCTTCATCAGTACATGCTACACTCTAGGCCGAAGGTGACTGCATAGATCAATAGTTCAGAAACAGGTTTCTAAGCCTCTGTCCAACTTTTAGTTACATGTCTTAGGGCGAGTGGCTCAAGTCCTCATGGGAATACTATCACTCGCGGAAGATACAGATACATACAGCCGATGAGTCCCAGCCTGGATGAAACCTGAGTCCTGAAGTCCACTGTTGTTCACGAGAATTATTGAATTGTTCTTGTCAGTTACTCAAAAGAATTTAATTCATTTCACAGATAAAAAAAAGAACTTAGTAAATATTGATGATTTCAATAATCCTTGCCTTTTAAACAAGCTGTACACACCCTTCATTGTCAATTTTGATTGAATCAGTAAACGTTCTCCTTAAATCCTCAATTTTAAAACAATTAAATACTCTTTAATTCTTTTCTTCTCTTATGATTGACCTAATTTGGGTTATTAGAAAGTTGAAAATGTGTCAATATTGGGTGTGAAGATGAGCTGTTTTTTAAAATTAAACTTACCGGTATTTGTACTTTATTTTTGTTTTGATACAATTTCAGTCACGCATTGTTTAACATTGTTTAACTATAGATTAACTTATTTATTTTTGTTTTGCATTTTTCACCGGAATCTCTGAATTTCACTTCTTATTTTGAAAGATATGTTTAATACTAGTTGAATAATAATACTAAGTATTACGTTTTGTCTTAAGTCTAGGTGGAAGTCAACAGCACTCAGCATCAAAAATAAGATCCGGATTTTCAACTACAATGTGAAGTCAGTCAGTGCTACTGTACGGATCACAGACTTGGCGAGTCATAATGAGCACCTCAGACAAACTTCAGACCTTCATCAACAGTTGTCGTCGCTCAGTACTACTCAAGATCAAATGGCCAGAAAAGATCAGTAACAGGGACCTCTGACAATGAGCAAACCAATCAACCAGGAACCGACTGTGTAACGAATTGTCAGGAAGAAATGCAGGTGGATTGGCTGACCATACTCTGAGAAAACCATCAAGTGACATCACTAGACAAGCCATTGTTCGAGTGGAACCAGAACGGGAAGCGGTGAGTTGGTCGTCATTGCAAGGGTGACTTGGAGGAGGTCATGTGAGGAGGAGATGAAAGCATGTGGACAGACTTGGAAGGGGGTGAAAAATTTGGCAGAAAACAGAAGGCAATGGAGGTGCGTAGCTGAAGCTCTATGTTCCTCTAGGAACAAAAGGATATAATAATAATAAGTTACCTTTTTTTATTATAACTTGATTCCACACCGTATTAATGGTACAAGCAAGGAATTTTGAGCATATGATATCGGTAGTTCAAATTTTGCAGGCCGACCATAGTTATCAGGTGTGCATGGTCGGCCAGAGTCCTAACCGCTGTGCTACCCTTATCTTGTTAGACTTTTAGAGGTCTAATCGATCTAAAGGTTGGTCTCACGATAAGAGTAATATCAGCTATGACACTTACTGAAAACTTCGCCAATCATTCACTGATAAATACACGAGATAGCATTGCTTTACTAGGAGTAACCAACATGTAACCGACACTGTCTGTTTTCAGTCGATGAGCTGTGTGAGATGTGGGAACCCGAATCGATTGTACATACGAACTCATTGCTTGAATGATGATGTGCTGT